ATCACTTCCTGCTTTCAATTCGATCAAATCGAAGCGTAATTAGACTAGATAGCGATCATTTATGGTTATATTTATTGAGTTTATACTATAATCTTGTTGATTATGTACCAAACATGTATTGATATTAAGTGTAAAAGCCGAGATCGTGATTTGTAAGTGAAGACAGTTATTTTTACGAAACTAATATCCTGATTCAGTGATTACATCCGGTGACGAGGTATTGCATCAGCCCATTAATCACTTGTTAGGTTCGTGTGCAAAACCTGTCTGGGGTATAAATACAGAGCACGGATCACTCCTAGCAGACACGTAGGCAACATTTGATGGGAACACATCTCCCGTGCCAGTGTTTCATTTGAGGATTGATGAGAAACTTAGAAGATTTGCTGGATCGAGGAACTTTGTCATTTCCAGACATAGTTTAGAATATTCCAGCCTGTTTGAAGAAATACTGCTGGATCGAGGAACTTTGTCATGTCCAGACATAGTATAGATAACTCCAGCCTGATTGAAGAGATACTGCTGGACCGAGAAACTTTGTCATTTCCAGGCAAAGTTTTAGAATATTTCAGCCCGATTGAAGAATTACTGCTGGATCGAGAAACTTTGTCATTTCCAGGCATAGTTTAGAATATTCCAGCCCGTTTGATGAAATACTGCTGAACCGAGAAACTTTGTCATTTCCAGGCAAAGTTTTAGAATATTTCAGCCCGATTGAAGAATTACTGCTGGATCGAGGAACTTTGTCAATTCCAGGCATAGTTTAGAGTATTCCAGCCCGTTTGATGAAATACTGCTGAACCGAGAAACTTTGTCATTTCCAGGCAAAGTTTTAGAATATTTCAGCCCGATTGAAGAATTACTGCTGGACCGAGAAACTTTGTCATTACCAGACTTAGTTTACATTATTCCAGCCTGATTGAGAAGGAGTGCCATCAACTTGTATTTTCAGGTGTTATTAAGTAACTTGTTTTTTTTTCTATTGTTAACTTGAGAAACTTTGCCATTTTTCGAAATCAATTGTTAACTTGAGAAACTTTGCCATTTTCGAGATCAAGAAACTTATTTAGCAATTAATGTTTTTCTTTTGTTAACTTGAGAAACTTTGCCATTTTTGAGGTTGAGAAACTTACATTATTCTTTTCATAATTTAGTAAACTTGAGAAACTTAGCCATTTTTAGATCAGTTATTTGTCATCAATTTGCTGACTGAAGAAATACTGCTGGACTGAGGAACTTTGCCATTTCCAGACAAAGTTCATAATATTCCAGCCTGATTGAGGAACTTTGCTGGATTGAGAAACTCTGTCATATCCCGACATAGTTTATACAATATTCCAGCCTGACTGAAGAAATACTGCTTGACTGAGGAACTTTGCCATTTCCAGACAAAGTTCATAATATTCCAGCCTGACTGAAGAAATACAGCTGGACTGAGAAACTCTGTCATAGTTTATACAATATTCCAGCCTGACTGAAGAAATACAGCTGGACTGAGAAACTCTGTCATAGTTTATACAATATTCCAGCCTGACTGAAGAAATACTGCTTGACTGAGGAACTTTGCCATTTCCAGACAAAGTTCATAATATTCCAGCCTGACTGAAGAAATACAGCTGGACTGAGAAACTCTGTCATTTCCCGACATAGTTGATACAACTCCAGCCTGTTTGAAGGACTCTGCTGGATTGAGGAATATTCCAGCTTGATTGAGGAAATACAGCTGGACTGAGAAACTCTGTCATTTCCCGACATAGTTTATACAATATTCCAGCCTGACTGAAGAAATACAGCTGGACTGAGAAACTCTGTCATTTCCCGACATAGTTTATACAATATTCCAGCCTGATTGAGGAACTTTGCTGGATTGAGGAATATTCCAGCCTACTGAAGAAATACGGCTGGATTGAGGAACTTTGTCACTTCCAGGCTAGGCATAGTTCATAATATTCCAGCCTGACTGAAGAAATACAGCTGGACTGAGAAACTCTGTCATTTCCTGACATAGTTGATACAACTCCAGCCTGTTTGAAGGGCTCTGCTGGATTGAGGAATATTCCAGCCTGATTGAGGAAATACAGCTGGACTGAGAAACTCTGTCATTTCCCGACATAGTTTATACAATATTCCAGCCTGATTGAGGGACTCTGCTGGATTGAGGAATATTCCAGCCTGTTTGAGGAACTTTGCTGGATTGAGAAACTTTGTCATTTCCCGACATAGTTTATACAACATTCCAGCCTGACTGAAGAAACTTTGCTGGACTGAGGAACTTTGCCATTTCCAGACAAAGTTCATAATATTCCAGCCTGTTTGAGGAACTTTGCTGGACTGAGAAACTTTGTCCTTTCCCGACATAGTTTATACAATATTCCAGCCTACTGAAGAAATACGGCTGGATTGAGGAACTTTGTCACTTCCAGGCTAGGCATAGTTCATAATATTCCAGCCTGACGGAAGAAGTACAGCTGGACTGAGAAACTCTGTCATTTCCCGACATAGTTGATACAACTCCAGCCTGTTTGAAGGACTCTGCTGGATTGAGGAATATTCCAGCCTGATTGAGGAAATACAGCTGGACTGAGAAACTCTGTCATTTCCCGACATTGTCTATATAACTCAAGCCTGATTGAGAATAAGAACCAGAAACTTAGCTCATTTGGAGGAGCTGTTGAGGAACTTGGAATATTTTCACTCAACCTGGATGACTTAATGGAAACTAAGTACGAGACACTTAGTTTATTTAGGAGCTACTGGGAATCTTAGGCAGATTCCACATATTGAGGAACTTAAAGGATCTTCATCGATTTAGGAGCTACTGGGAATCTTAGGCAGATTCCACATATTGAGGAACTTAAATGATCTTCATCGATTTAGGAGCTACTGGGAATCTTAGGCAGATTCCACATATTGAGGAACTTAAATGATCTTCATCGATTTAGGAGCTACTGGGAATCTTAGGCAGATTCCACATATTGAGGAACTTAAATGATCTTCATCGATTTAGGAGCTACTGGGAATCTTAGGCAGATTCCACATATTGAGGAACTTAAATGATCTTCATCGATTTAGGAGCTACTGGGAATCTTAGGCAGATTCCACATATTGAGGAACTTAAAGGATCTTCATCGATTTAGGAGCTACTGGGAATCTTAGGCAGATTCCACATATTGAGGAACTTAGAGGATCTTCATCGATTTAGGAGCTACTGGGAATCTTAGGCAGATTCCACATATTGAGGAACTTAGAGGATCTTCATCGATTTAGGAGCTACTGGGAATCTTAGGCAGATTCCACATATTGAGGAACTTAGAGGATCTTCATCGATGTTGCCTGTTGGGGACGTTGAATAGTGTCACCCCTGACCTGGATGACTTTGATGGAAACTAAGTACGAGACACTTAGTTTATTTGGGAGCTACCAGGGATCTTAGGCAGATTCCACTTGTTGAGGAACTAAGTACGAGACACTTAGTTTATTTAGGAGCTACTGGGAATCTTAGGCAGATTCCACATATTGAGGAACTTAGAGGATTTTCATCGATTTAGGAGCTACTGGGAATCTTAGGCAGATTCCACATATTGAGGAACTTAAATGATCTTCATCGATTTAGGAGCTACTGGGAATCTTAGGCAGATTCCACATATTGAGGAACTTAAAGGATCTTCATCGATTTAGGAGCTACTGGGAATCTTAGGCAGATTCCACATATTGAGGAACTTAGAGGATCTTCATCGATTTAGGAGCTACTGGGAATCTTAGGCAGATTCCACATATTGAGGAACTTAAAGGATCTTCATCGATTTAGGAGCTACTGGGAATCTTAGGCAGATTCCACATATTGAGGAACTTAGAGGATCTTCATCGATTTAGGAGCTACTGGGAATCTTAGGCAGATTCCACATATTGAGGAACTTAGAGGATCTTCATCGATTTAGGAGCTACTGGGAATCTTAGGCAGATTCCACATATTGAGGAACTTAGAGGATCTTCATCGATTTAGGAGCTACTGGGAATCTTAGGCAGATTCCACATATTGAGGAACTTAGAGGATCTTCATCGATTTAGGAGCTACTGGGAATCTTAGGCAGATTTCACATATTGAGGAACTTAGAGGATCTTCATCGATGTTGCCTGTTGGGGACGTTGAATAGTGTCACCCCTGACCTGGATGACTTTGATGGAAACTAAGTACGAGACACTTAGTTTATTTGGGGAGCTACCAGGGATCTTAGGCAGATTCCACTTGTTGAGGAACTTAGAGGATCTTCATCGATTTACGAGACACTTAGTTTATTTGGGAACTACTAGGAATCTTGGGTAGATTCCACAGATTGAAGAACTAAGTTAATTCCAGACTTAGTTATTTTATTTCAGGCCAGCTTGAGATTTGCCTTCATTGAGAGACTGTTATTCCAAGGTATAATCACTGAAGCTGTATTGAGAGACTGTTATTCCCAGATTTATACCTAGCTGAATTGAACAAGTCCAGAGCTCAAGAGACAATTAAGAGTACAAGTATTTTCGTATATAGGACTCTTATAATTAGTGTTTTATTGACAGTGATCACGTATCAAGAACTTTTATATAGTGCCTCAGTAACTGAATACATCGATTTTCATGTATTATTTTGACGGGCTAAAACGCCACAATATATGTGTTATTGTATTTAATTGTATATAAGTTGTTATGTACAGATTTCCCACGTGTATATTTAACGTATACCCTGAGACCCACAGTGACACAGTCTATTAAACAACATCCACACTACCATAATTAGGCTGAATGTTACATAGTGGTTTTTTTTGTGGATAATAAAAATAGATGTTAGTCTTGATGAAATATCCAAACTTAAATATATTTTGACACTGGTCCATGATCGTTGAATGGCCCCTCTGCACTAATTGTTGCACCTTTAAGGAGAACTACCTAAATGACCTACAATAATATTGAATCTTTAAAGATTAAATCCGGGAGATAAGATCATAAAACGTTTCGTCTTATTTGGATTTCCGCAATCTGTCCTCCCTCTTGAACGATTTGATGAGGAGTTCCATCCTCTCACGAATAGTTCGTAAACTATCAACGTGGAGACTTTTACACACGTCGAGGCGAACAGCCTCCCAATTGGGAGGATTCTCCCATGGATTTCTTGCCAGGGAAGAACGCACTAAGACTAAGTCGTCTTTGAGTCTAAAGTAAACACGTTTTTTGGCGCTTTCTTGATCTTGAGACATGATGTTCAGCAGTCCACGCGCTATGGATGAATATTGAAGGCTCATTGTGCTGTTTATAAGTACGATTTGCAGGCCACTCACTCATAATCAAATTAGTTGACTAATTAGCCTGGTTCCTTTCATCAAAATTAGCACGATATACACTAAACATTATGTAGGTCACTTAAATTTAACATTTAGGGGAAATTGATATACATTTGAAGGACAAAAATAGATGCGGAAACAACTACGCACAAAAGTGTCAACTTTACGTACTTTCGGTATTGCAGTCGATAACACAAACGTATTGAGTCCACATTTGCTCCATCGATGCGTTACGGATTTTGATACGGGCAGCTGAAACGTTGTGCGAAGCAACTACACTGTGATTATTGTAATACCATTCCACACAGTGTAAAATGAATTGAACATACCATTTGGAAAACTCGATTTATGTCAAACAATAAACAAATCCATTCACCAAATCTAAGTCATATATTGAACAACACAATGTGTTTGTTCATACAGTGATACTTTTAGAACTAAAATCAATGTAATTGTATGATAAAATGGGATGCGTAAATGACCAACGTACAAAAGCCTCATTTTTCGTGTTTTCCGTATTGCTGCACTTATAAATTGGACGGACTGCGCATAAATCTGGTAAATACGTTACGGATACGGATACGTTGAGCTAAAAAACGTTGTGCGAAACCTCTCTAATGTCTTATTTTTCGAGTATGGTAGATTTATTATCTGAAAACGAAATGATTCACATAGATAACCTCTGTAGACTTGTGGCAACACATTTTTCCGCCTCATTTCCAGAAAGAAAGATCCAGGGGATGTATCTCTGATGTACCCCCCAAAATTGCTTAAAAAACTGCAAAAACAGCTGGACACGAAGCCCAAAAAAGTGAATAACTTCAACAAATTTTAACATTTTCACCTGATATTATCCTCAGTATCTTTTTGACCTCTACTGAGTTGAATAAATTAATCGTTTTTGGCTATACTTCTCAAAATGTTGAGATATCGAGCATGTAATATTTGAACTTTTGAGTGACGAACTTTTGAAAAAGACCCAGTTCCAAAAATAGTCTCTGCAAAGCTTCAGTCATATTTGCTCTACGGTGGCCGTAGCTTCACAATAGAACTGCTTATCCCTATATTAATGCTTCATATATATTTCTCTCGATTCTGGGAAGCTACGGCCGTTGTACGGAGAAAGAGTCGAAGGCATGCGAGGCGAATCCTGGAAACCCGGGTTTGGGAAAGCAGGGATCACTGTATGTTTCCGTTGACAACCGTGCAAAACTACATTCATAATTCATACGACAGTGAACAGGAGGTTTACAGTCAGACCCGGGTGCGCCAATCCCTTATTTAAATGTGTGTTTCGCGGACCAGGGTTTAAGGCCATTCCAAACGAAATAAGTGTTTAATGAGGCGACGAAATATAAAAGTTCGTTTTATTAGAATTTTATACGTGTTATTTTTTGTCTACCAAGACGTTAAACATATTAGAAAAAGTAATGTATTATGATTGGTCTAAAATGTGCAAATCTAGAAGACCCCTTATATTCGTTCGTTCTCTATTTTGACTAAGATAATGGAGAGGTTAAGCTACCGTATAAAATCCAAAACGCAACTTAAACGTATCAATCGTCCCTATACAAATATTAATACATGAAGAGTTCACACATAAATAGCCGTTCAGCTCTAGTGTTTGTTTAGACTACACCATAGCTTGTAATGATTACATAGTATGCCATTGATGAAGTTCAATAGCTGGTTTTCTAATACATATTTTAAACGAGCTCGTTTCGTAAGATTATTGGAGTTAAATCATGCGTAACATACATCATCTTCTTTAGAAAGAATTATACTCTGCATCGAAATCAAAATTGCAAGGATAGTTTTCAACAGACATGAGCATAATGATTCCCGTTGATAGCAACGTGAAAATTTAAAATCTCCCGTTCTAAACACGCAACTTTGAAGTTGAACGGGTATCTGAAGTAGACTAAAGCGATACACTCCTATGTTGATTCAATGTACTTTGCGTTTACGTATACGTTTTGAAAAACCGTATTTGCTTAACCTCTCCAATATATCAGGACAACGGTTACTAAAGCAAGAAAAAATTGACCAGTAGAGATGAGGAACATGACATACATACATTTATTTTTATTCATAACAAGGTGTGTCCAATACCAGCCAATCAGAACACGCTATTTTACATAACTGCATTCCATTGTGTGAAAAGAATTTAAGCTCAAGACTCAATGCATTGTGGAATGACCATTTCTTTCAGGCGTCGATGCAAGCATCTCGTGCAAATTTTGGAAAGCAACACCTTCAAGGATTGGTAATTCAACATTGCACTGAGTTCAAGCCTTATATCTTTAAAAATAGAAACTACCCCATTATACAGGGCGTTCAAAAACTATTGCTAATTATGCTTTGACTTTTGTTCTATTGCTTTTTTCTTATATCTAACAAACAAACAAAGCTTAGAATACAACAACATCAGATGTATTTTACCAGATTCGTCAATCTAAAAAGACGGTTGGTGATCCCAGACTTCAAAGTTCTTGTAATAAGTGTACGTATCTGTCGTAGAAGCCCATTGAGGAGTCCGGGAACCACCAAAGAACGTAGAGAAATAGATGGCGTTTGTCGAGACGCTGGTTGCACCACGGTAGCTAATGTCCGTCATTGAGAGGACTCGTCGTCCATCAATCCACACCCGTAAGGTACCGTCCCTCCGCCCAGGTGTATTCATTCTAAAATAACGTTGCATTATAATACTATACACTCCCCTACAAAAGTTTTGCGAACGGAAGTCCCCTTTTGGAAGATTTATGAAACCCAGTATATGTTTGGCGATTCAGAAAAATCTTTAAAGTCATGACTATTGCAATAAAGGTACAAAATTAAGATACATACTGTACATTGACAGACTTTGATATGCTATCAAATGAAAACTTGCAATTACCAAACTCACAAAGTGTAACTTCAAGAATCCAAATTTTCCCCGTCTGTTATCAACCACACTTCAATTTTTAGAAAATTCATTTTATTAATAAAGAGTATGCTTACCGTACATATTGTTGAATTCTGATCCATCGACCCTTTCTGAAGCGGAATGATCCCCGTCCAACAGAATGACCGTACACTGGGTCGCAGTGTACTCTAGGACGGCGACAAAAGTCACTAGCCTGCGTCATTGGGGTATAAAAATAGACCTCCCCATCCCCATCTGTCCTCCACATGTATCTTAAAGCATATTAGGAAGCTAAGTCGTAAGTTCAGAATGGGACTGGTAGATCCCAATGAGGTGAGCTAGGAGTACGAATTTAGTCATACCTGTGAGAGTGTGGTGCATGAAATGGAATGACCTAAACTTAAACGTGATAGAGAAGCACTGGCGAAAGATCTTCTCCCTCTAAACGAACTGTTGGGGCTTAGCAGACAAATTTGAAATGATGCAATCGTAAGTATTAAATGATCTGACACTTAACAATTTTAATGAATTTGCGACTGATGTGCCATATTTTAATGATGCGCTATCAATAATGAATAAAGACATACCGTGTTGAAAAACATCGTGCCCATCTCCCGCCGCTGCATGAGCCACTTCCTCCATATAACCCAGGTAGCTTGCCACCCAGCACAAATTGGAAGTTTGAGGCGAAATAAACCTAAGCGGAAAGCGATATTGTTATGTCAAGTGAAAGTGTCAAGTGTAAGTGTATACAATTTGATATGTACCATAAATATATTTATTGTAGATGTTCATGTGATTGTATTTTATTGTATTGTGTTGTATTGTATTGTATTGTATTGTATTGTATCGCAGTGTATTTAAATGGAGTTTTTGTAGTTTATGATACCTCGTACGTCAGCGTACAACTTCGACTCGATGGGAACGGACTAGCATGGAACTGCGCACCTCCTTTATTTCCCGGTGCTCCCGCGTAGGAACCTCTCTTATAGAATACTCTCAGCACGGTGCCTGATCCTCCTGCCGGGTCACTGACTACCTTCATGTTCTCCCGGCGCGATACCCTACTTGCAGACCATCCCGCCAACGGATCGCCACTCCTCGGAAACGGAGGCTGGCGCCATAAAACTCTACTCTCAATGGAGCCTGGGTAAATTCAAGAGGGGTATACATGATCAGCATCCTAAAATACCACTTTTGTTTGAGACAATCTAAACAGTTGATCCAGGTCGCATCTCGTAAAAAATCAAAATCAATGATATTTTTGTATATATGCATGTTCGTCTTGCATCCACTTTCACTATGGCGAGTCTAAATGTATTGTATTAACTTACCAAGAGAGAGAATAGACAGGAGAACCAGCGACAACGGGAACATATTGAGAATATGACTATAATTTTATGTACAGTGCATAACGTTAACAATTGGTGGGAACTTTTTGTTGATAAGCATTCTTTCCAGCTTTTGATTCACATTGTTTTTAAGATATGTTTTATCTTTCCTCGTTTATATAATAGAGCTGTCATACTTAAAGTCCCCGTCTAAAGTTTGAAATATTTTTTTATCATTCATTTACTATTTATCAGGACTTAAAAAGTGATTTTAGAGATTTTTGAACAAAAAATTTTTTTTGAAATAAAGTTGTGAGCATTTCATTTCTCAAATATTCAAATCAAAAAGTTGAAATTTTTTAATCATCAAATATTTCTTAATGCATTTCAAAAAAGATTATCTTTTTAACACCAATGCAAAGATTGAACAAAGGACACACTATTTCAATAATAAAATGCCATATCTAATGGGCCACTTCAATGTTTTAGCATATCAAATATGAATAATATTTGATTTAAATACAATTACGAGCTATTATCTTCCAGTGTTGACAATTTCTGTTGTGTCAGTCTAGGCCAAAATCTTACCGGATTAAAAGGGAATGACTTTAATTATGAACCGTTCACATTTTTGCAAAGGCGGATTTGGATGACGGCAAACCCGGGTTTTGTGGGCGCATCATACAAGGCACTTTATAACCCTATGCGCAAAACATCTCGTTAAAAGTCCGTTGCAGTTAAGTCAACATATCCATAGTTAAGAGTTAATTACGAGGAACCCTTCTATTAAAAACAATGAATATTCTGGTTTGAAAAGCATCGAAAATAACACGAACGAGTCAAATAATGCACCGTTCGTTTTTTGCAAAGGCCGGTTTGGATGACGGCAAACCCGGGTTTTGAGGGCGCGACTTATGGCAACGAGTGCTTCTGGTTGTACGGCTGTCGAGGATCAAATGTAATTGAAGGATAAATTATCTAACCGTTATGGTCAGCCATAAATTGTTCAATTACCAGAGGTTTTGGTATCGCGAGGATTTAAGGATATTTATGAGTCATGTTGTTGCATTGGTGTATTACTGATTCTCCTTCCATCATAATATAGAAATCTTTTCTTACCGTCCGCCATTTTGATTTAGACTTTCTGGATACTGACCAGCGCTGCTGTAGAGTTTGTTGTCTCCCAACTGACTTGACCATTTGATTAAATGATACACTGCACGTTCACATAAATCATTTAAATTGAATGAAGATCCCCAAGAGAAGATCAAATAGATTTTCTGTAAACCCTATGATGCATTTTCTTTCACAATTGAATTATAGACCTCTGTTGTAACTTTACTAGTGCACTCACTCACATCTTAGATAATACAATTAAGTTGCAATCACGGGTTGTTTTCAGATGGTTCATTGAATCCAGTCTCATACAGTCTCATATCCGTCTCCTGGTATTTGTAAGTTAGACTTAAGACTGATATGCTTTATGTTGTTTACTCCTTAATTTGGTAATTTAAAATAACGTTTCCTCTGATCTCGTTACCAATGACATACCATCCTAAAATTAATCATATCACAAGCATGACTGTAGCTACGGACCAAACGTTCGAATCACAAAAAGTTGCTATCAGACAGAATATAAAATGGTTGACAAAATTTCTCAACTAAATTCTGTATAATCTTACTTAAATAATAAAAATGTGTTATATTTTAAATATAAAATGGTAAATATAGATACCCAGATTTTTAAGATAAAAAGATACAGAAAAAATCTCTATTGGTACGTTTTTGGAAAGTGATTCTAATGGCCTAGTCACATAGCCCGGCCGATGTCCGGCATCGGTAGAGCTCGGTGGATTTTTTTGGTTCATCGGAAGCAGAGCTCGGTGACGTGAACGGACTCCGTCCGGACATCTTCAGGCGACCGTAGGGGGTCTGTCTCAAAATGGTAGTTTTTTCTGCCGATGTGGCAGCAACTACCGGCCGGAGGTCGGCCGGACATCGGAAGGAATACGGCCGGTACCCGAGCAGGTAACAGGACACCATGCGATCGCCGGCCGGGCTGTTAAAGGGCTTTGAACAGTGACCGGCCGATGCTCTGTCCCACATCGGCCGGAGCTCGGTCGGAGCTCGGCCGCTGTCCGTTAAAAAACCTCGTCCTCTGGTTGTCTCAGATGCACGGGACACCGGCCGATACTCGGCCGTGCACCGGCCGACGTGTTTTCCGATGTGGTTACGATGGGGCTGCGATGACATGATGAGGGAGCTCGGTGAGAGCCCGGTGAAATTTAACTCCGAAGTTAAAATTTCACCGAGCTACCACCCAGCTAACAATTTTACGTTGTGATAACGTCGTCAGAATATATGTCTCAAGTTGTAGCAACGTTAAATATGGAACGTTGTAGGTACAGGAAGGTGTGGACTCGCACAGATGTTTAAAGAACGTTACATTTGACTTAAATATCACGTGTCAGGAACGTAGTAGCGACCTTAACAATTACGTCGCCAAAATAACGAAACTGTAACGTACTTACATTACGTCATAAATACGTGGCCAATCTAAATTTCTGGTAACGTTGATATGGAACGTTGTAGGTACAGGAAGGTGTGGACTCGCACAGATGTTTAAAGAACGTTACATTTGACTTAATATCACGTGGCAGGAACGTAGTAGCGACCTTAACAATAACGTCGCCAAAATAACGAAACTGTAACGTACTTACATTACGTCATATATACGTGGCCAATCTAAATTTCTGGTAACGTTGATATGGAACGTTGTAGGTACAGGAAGGTGTGGACTCGCATAGATGTTTAAAGAACGTTACATTTGACTTAAATATCACGTGTCAGAAACGTAGTAGCGACCTTAACAATTACGTCACCAAAATAACGAAAATGTAACGTACTTACATTACGTCATAAATACGTGGCCAATCTAAATTTCTGGTAACGTTGATATGGAACGTTGTAGGTACAGGAAGGTGTGGACTCGCACAGATGTTTAAAGAACGTTACATTTGACTTAAATATCACGTGTCAGGAACGTAGTAGCGACCTTAACAATAACGTCGCCAAAATAACGAAACTGTAACGTACTTACATTACGTCATATATACGTGGCCAATCTAAATTTCTGGTAACGTTGATATGGAACGTTGTAGGTACAGGAAGGTGTGGACTCGCATAGATGTTTAAAGAACGTTACATTTGACTTAAATATCACGTGTCAGGAACGTAGTAGCGACCTTAACAATTACGTCACCAAAATAACGAAAATGTAACGTACTTACATTACGTCATAAATACGTGGCCAATCTAAATTTCTGGTAACGTTGATATGGAACGTTGTAGGTACAGGAAGGTGTGGACTCGCACAGATGTTTAAAGAATGTTACATTTGACTTAAATATCACGTGTCAGGAACGTAGTAGCGACCTTAACAATTACGTCACCAAAATAACGAAAATGTAACGTACTTACATTACGTCAAATATACGTGGCCAATCTAAATTTCTGGTAACGTTGATATGGAACGTTGTAGGTACAGGAAGGTGTGGACTCGCATAGATGTTTAAAGAACGTTACATTTGACTTAAATATCACGTGTCAGGAACGTAGTAGCGACCTTAACAATTACGTCACCAAAATAACGAAAATGTAACGTACTTACATTACGTCATAAATACGTGGCCAATCTAAATTTCTGGTAACGTTGATATGGAACGTTGTAGGTACGGGAAGGTGTGGACTCGCATAGATGTTTAAAGAACGTTACATTTGACTTAAATATCACGTGTCAGGAACGTAGTAGCGACCTTAACAATTACGTCACCAAAATAACGAAAATGTAACGTACTTACATTACGTCATAAATACGTGGCCAATCTAAATTTCTGATACGTTAATTATGGAACGTTGTAGGTACAGGAAGTTGTGGACTCGCACAGATGTTCAAAGAACGTTACATTTGACTTAAATATCACGTGCCAGGAACGTAGAACCAACCTAAACGATAACTTCGCAAAAATAACGAGACTGTAATGTGCTTATGCAACGTCACATATACGTGGCCAGTTTTAAGTTCTGGTACGTTAATTATGGAACGTTGTAGGTACAGGAAGGTGTGGACTCGCACAGATGTTTAAAGAACGTTACATTTGACTTAAATATCACGTGCCAGGAATGTAGAACCAACCTTAACAATGACTTCGCAAAAATAGTGAGACTGTAATGTGCTTATGCAACGTAACGTATACCTGGCCAGTTTAAAGTTCTGGTAACGTTTGTCTTGGACCGATGTAGGCACAGGAAGGTCTGGACTCGCACAGATGTTTATACAACGTTACATTTTACTTAAATATCATGTGCTAGGAATGTAGTAGCAACCTTAACAATGTCTGCAAAAATAAAATAACAGACTGTAATGTGCTAATGCAACGTCACATATACGTGGCCAAGTTAAAGTTCTGGTAACATTAACTATAGAACGTTGTAGGCAAAGGAAAGTGTGGACACGCATAAATGAGTATACAAGTTACGTTCGACTTAGATATCACGAGCCAGGAATGTAGTATCAACCTTAACAACGACTTTGCCAAAATAAAGAGACTGTAACGTGCTTGTCACATACATGGCAAATTCATAACTTCTGGTTACATCAAGTTAGGACAACACATGCAGGAATGTTCTAGTAACCTTAATTATGACATCAACAAGATATGGTGATAGTAATGACTAACGTCCAGTTAAATGAATCATTACATGAACATAATTTAAAGTTCCTGTACAGGAAGATGTAGACACCGATGTTCAGTAAAATTATATATAACACACTAAGCCTAACATTTTCACATGTGAAGGTAAAACACAACTAACTTATGCTTTGACTTATTAACAAATGTATATTGTTTTTCCAATAATTAATGAGTTAATACACAAGAACTTTTTTGAGCATCCAAATAGAGAATATTGACATACAGAATTGAACTTAAATATATGTCATCTATCAAAAATCTATCCTATCGTTAATAAGTTTTATTAAGTATT